ATGATAACTAATTTAGAAAATGTCGACTACTATTAAAATGCGCAATAAAGAAAGCACATAAACAGTTTCGAAACCAACCACGAACCGCCGGTACGTCAACTTTATTTATCGCCACGGACCAAGAAAATCGAATATCGGCTAAGGTGAGAAAGGGGGTAAGGAGCACGGAATGGCGTCGAGAAATTCAGGATAATGGCGGCGTTCAAAGTGAAAAAGGGACGGCGAGAAAGAGGAACCGATACCGGTGACAGAGGAAGCGGAGATATCAAGTAGAAAGAGAGTCAGGACGTGTCCGTAGATTTAGAGGGCACCGGTGAGCTACTATTGTTAGCAATTTATTTCCGATGTATTGACTGGCCGCTAAAATGGACGCCGTCATCGATACGCGATCCTGAATCTCCGCCGCAGAAGCCTCTTCAGGCTTATCGATTCCACCACCTGTCGACCACAGACACGTCAACCTAGCTCAGGAAGCACATCAGAGAACTACGACATGGTCTCAGGGTACATATGATTCAGATGTTCGATTTTCACTAATAGCCTCGATCGATGACGCATTATTCTAATCCGTAATTAACCGAGGCACAATTCTGATTCATTGGATGTGGCTTCTGAAAGCCATGGTGCTTTGTGCTAGTAAATAAAGGCATGGGTCTTCTGCAGATGGAGGCATGATACCAAGTTGGGCCCACTAGGTACGTACATGTGGAGTTTGGTAAAATACATTTGGAAGTGGAATTAACTGGATATATTTTTTGCTTTTGTTGCTGATGATTCATAGGTAGACAAAAGAAGGTGTACTCTTCGCAACCTTGAACCTGGGAGGCTGGCCCAGGTTTAAAGCACCTAGCCCACCTTGGACAGTCCGAATAGAGTTAGAGTTCCATCCGTTGGATTACCATGCGTTAGATTACCACCCGCTGGATTACCACGCGATAATTTATCACCGGTTGGATTACTACGCGTTAGATTACCACCCGTTGGATTACCACGCGTTAATTTATCACCCGTTGGATTACTACGCGTTAGATTACCACGTGTTAGATTACCACCCGTTGGATTACCAAGCGTTAGATTACTACGTGTTGGACTCTCACGCGTTAGATTACCACCCGTTGGATTACCAAGCGTTAGATTACTATGCGTTGGACTCTCACGCGTTAGAGGTGACGAAGTTAGAGGTGACACTTCAGAACCTAGATTCAGCACTTCAGAACAGATGTGGACCTAGGTACGTTCTTCTGTTTGGACCAAGTGGGACCATTCGTCAGATAGGTTCCTGGGTCAGCCTTCAAGTTCAGACCTGCGTAAGGACACTCGTCATTAGGCTGTATTACACCCGCGGCATGTGTAGCAGTTGTAGCGAGTGGTAGCTGAAGACAAACCGTTGTAGCTAACACGGCAGCTGGTAGGTTGTCGCGAACGCTTGGGACGAGCTTGGTCGGAAGCTAAAGAGGGTGGTTTCGACGTTGAAGGATGGCGTGTCGCTGGGAGACGCGGTAGGAATACCTCGTAAGCGCACGTACACGCATAAGTGCACACGGAGACGAATGTGACTCGGTGTAACGCTCTGAAACCTTCTCCTCCACCTCTTCTCACCCTTACGACCGAACAAACAAACGTTCACCACCACTGTTCCTTCGTTGCGATCGTGTCATTTCTCTTGCCTTTGAAATGCCTTTGCATTCGGCTCCTTTAAAATTCATGCGAATTTTATGATATTGCTGAGAGGTGATGATGTGTAGCGAGGAACTGCGGGTTATGTGGATGTGTGATGTCTTCTGATACTGTGGTACGTGTTGTAAGCGTCGGAACGTATGATAAATTACCGGGCGATGGATTATCATGTGGTAGATTATCGCTTGGTAGATTATTACCCGTTGAATTATCACGCGTTAGATTACTATCCCTTCGATTATCACACGTTAGATTATCACCCGTTGGATTACCACGCGTTAGAGTTCCATCCGTTGGATTACCACGCGTTAGATAACTACCCGTTGAATTATCACGCGTTAGATTACTAACCCTTCGATTATCACACGTTAGATTATCACCTGTTGGATTACCACGCGTTAGAGTTCCATCCGTTGTATTACCACGCGTTAGATTACCACGCGTTAGATTACCACGCGTTAATTTATCACCCGTTGGATCACCACACGTTAGATTACGACCCGCTGGATTACTACGCGTTAATTTATCACCCGTTGGAACGCGTTAGATTACCACGCGTTAATTTATCACCCGTTGGATTACTACGCGTTAGATTACCACGCGTTAGATTACCATGCGTTAATTTATCACCCGTTGAATTACTACGCGTTAGATTACCACGCGTTAATTTATCACCCGTTGGATTACCACGCGTTAAATTACCACCCGTTGGATTACCCAGCGTTAGATTACTACGCATTGGACTCTCACGCGTCAGATTACCACCCGTTGGATTACCACGCGTTAAATTATGACCCGTTAGATTGCCACGCGTTATATTACCACCTGCTGGATTACCACGCGTTAATTTACCACCCGTTGGATTACTACGCGTTAGATTACCACGCGTTAGATTACCCTCCATTAAATTACGACGCGTTACATTACAACCCGTTGGACTCTCACGCGTTAGATTACCACTCGTTGGATTACCACATGTTAAATTATGACCCGTTGGATTACCACGCGTTATATTACCACCCGCTGGATTACCACGCGTTAATTTATCACCCGTTGGATTACTACGCGTTAGATTATTCTCCAGTGAATTATAACGCGTTACATTACAACCCGTTGGACTCTCACGCGTTAGATTACCACACGTTGGATTACCACACGTTAGATTATGACCCGTTGGATTATCATGCGTCAGATTACCACCCGCTAGATTACCACGCGTTAGATTACGACCCGTTGGACCCACATGCGTTAGATAACAACATGTTAGATAGCTACATATTAGATTACTATTAGTAGAATGCTTAAAAGTTAGATTACCACCCGTTACATTGCCACCCATCAGATTACTACGCACTAACCCATCACTCTCCAGACCACAACGCGCTATAAACACCAAATGTTCTATTTTACCAAATAAATGACAATGAACGCACAGAAAGATATTTTCATTAAAACACGATGAAATTTCGTACCGAAGTAATAAATTCGTGAAAATAATTTCACCGACACGGTGAACTGTTTACCCTGGCCATTAACCGAGCCAGCGTTTATTAACGAAAGCATAAATTCTTCAGAAGGAAAGTTAATTTGCTCTTCGGAGTAGGAGAATGTTCGTAGGTTCATGAGCGTAAATTGCATGTGTACGTCTAACGAATTTAAAGGGATTTATCTTTGAAGACGTTTCTCGAGTTGTCCGCGAGAACGAGGATGAGGATGTTAATTGGTCTCGCTTAATTATTCTTCAATTACATTTGCTGCTGTCCCGATTCTTTCGAGCAAAAAGCCGGAACGCAACGAGAAGCATTTTTCTGAGGTGCACGATGCTCGAGGAAAGTAATTAGCAGGCGCTGTGTTGCAAATCACTCGAAATGAGGCGTCCGCCATTTTCTCATACGTTCATCATGGCGGAACGCGGTTGTAGGATCGAGAATCATTTTGATATAACAAACTTACTAATATAAATTCATTAACACAAATTCATTGACATAAACTCATGTGTGAACAGAAGTTTCGTAAATCTGATATTTCACGGCGATAAAACGGGAGTACGTCACAATTTTTTATTCTTAACGTCTTTCTTCTGCAACAAATTTAAAATGAGTGACGTATGAAAAGAAAAATTTGTTGGACATTGTTAGCAACAATGGACACGAGCGCCATTGAAAAGTTGAAAATAATATTAGAGGCAATATCGAATGGTCGCACAATATTGACGCGGAAAAGTTTTCCATTTGTGTATCCGTAACAGCAAAACTTTGCGTGGAATTGTATGGCTGGCATCCAATGTCTCCAACAATGCGTACAAGTTTAATACATGGAGTACAATGTTACCAATTGGTCAACTATTCAAGGAAGCTGAAGCCAGAAACAAATATTGTCATTTACATGCATACAAGATTTTTCTAAGAAATACTTCGGGAGACATCGTTTTTTATTTGTTACGAATCTACATTGTAGAATGTTAATAAAATGTTGATTATACGTTCATAAAATGTTAATAAAATATTTGTAAAATGCTTATAAAAATGTTAGCTAAAATATTGATAGAAATTTTGTGAAAAAGTTCAGATGAATGTTAACAAAAATTTTAATAGAAGTGTTAACAGAAATGTTAGTAAAAATTAATAAATGTGTTAACAGGTAGTTTGATAAAAATGTTAATAGAAGTTTTAACATACTCAGTAAAAATGTTAATAAAGGACCTAACGAAAATGTTAGAAAAATGTTAGTAAAATTGTTAACAAATATCTTAATTAAAATTCTAATAAAAATATAATAAAAATGTTAGTCAAAAATGTTAGTAAAAATGTTAATAAAAATGGTAATAAGAATGCTAATAGAAATGTTAATAAAAATGTTAATGAACCTCTTAATAAAAATGTTAATAAAAATGTTAATAAACCTCTTAATGAATATGTTAATAAAAATGTTAATAAAAATATTAATAAGAATGTTAATAACAATGATAACAAGAATGTTAATAAAAAGGTTAATAAAAATGTTAATAAAAATGTTAATAAAAGGGTTAATAAAAATGTTAATAAAAATGTTAATAAAAACGTTAATGAAAATGTTAAGCATTCGGTTTTGACAGACGCAGCTAAAATTTCGATTTCTTTTCCAAATACAAAGCGAGTAAGGACAAAGTAAGTCGTTCCATAATAAACGCAACTGGCGAAACTCAGTGGTGTCGTAATAATTAAATTTAATCTCCAGCGCGACAAAATTTTCTTGCGACAAGTAATTTTATCCGCGAGAGATTAAGCCGACAGACTAATCTACTTACATCGTTCCTACTAACGGGATAAATTAATGTCGCTCACCTGTTCGACCCACAAATTCGTCGTCATGATCTGATTCTTCAGGTTCTGCAACAGAAAACGAATCAACGATTAACAATTATTGTGTGACAATAAATTCAACAATCATTTCTAATTTTCTTATTTTCTTTTCATATTTCACTTTAATATACAGAAACTCTAAAAGGAATGTGGAAAGGTCATCATAAAATTTCTAGAAGGTAACCTGAAAATTCCCTAGGATGCACCTAAAGAATATTTCCTGCCATAAATCTAGAATGTATCAATACGAATTGCCTTAAATATTCCTAGGAAAATCTAACAAAAATTTGTAGAAGTTCAACAAAATTCCTAGTTAGTAATTAGAAAATTCCCTAGGATGAACCTAAAGAATATTTGTACTAAAAATTTAGAATGATTCAATACGAAATACCTTACAAATCCCTAGGAAGAATCTAATAGAAATTTGTAGCTCAACAAAATTCCTAGCTAGTACCTAAAAAATTCCCTAGGATGCACCTAAAGAATTCCACCAAAAATCTAGAATGGTTCAATACGATTTACCTTAAAAATCCCTAGAAAGAATTTAACAAAAATTTATAGAAGCTCAACAAAATTCCTAGTCAGTCCCTAAAAAATTCCCTAGGACGAACTTAAAGAAAATTCCCTAGGATGAACCTAAAGAATTCCACCAAAAATCTAGAATGGTTCAATACGATTTACCTTAAAAATCCCTAGAAAGAATCTAACAAAAATCTATAGAAGCTCAACAAAATTCCTAGTTAGTACCTAAAAAATTCCCTAGGATGCACCTAAAGAATTCCACCAAAAATCTAGAATGGTTCAATACGATTTACCTTAAAAATCCCTAGAAGGAATTTAACAAAAATTTATAGAAGCTCAACAAAATTCCTAGTCAGTACCTAAAAAATTCCCTAGGACGAACTTAAAGAAAGTTCCCTAGGAACCTAAAAAAAATTTCCAAGATAAACCTCCAAAAATCCTTAGGAATATTCTATAAAATAATCCACAAGAAATATAAATTAAAATTGCTCATTTTCGCAGATAAAAAGCACGGTCATATAAGGCGAGGTAATATAACCAGCGCGTCTCTTTTATAAAATGAAATTTAAATTGTTCCGTACTCGTCCATATAGCTGTTTAAGCATTTCTAACTCGACGTATCAGTTAATAACACGTCTATTTATTGCCTGTTGAAAATTGTGACACATAAACTGCAAAATGTGCAGCGAGTGGAAGTTATTCGCGCGATACATCGAAACAGAACGTGCTAATTCAGAGTAATAACCCATATTCAGCGATGTCATTTCGTTGCTAGATATTTCACATGTTATTAGCTTCCAGCTCGCTTGCAAAACTCGTGTATGGCTGTTCGCTTCCATTTTGTGTCTGTCGTTGACAGTGCATTGTAATTTCCGGGTCCAATGTCGGCTGCTAACTAATTGGACGACCAGCAAGACTGCTTCAGGATTTAACTAACACACTCGGTTTCCTAAGCCAGCTTATGGACTTCTTTTGTGTCGTGTTAGAAATGCAAATTTAAATGACGGTCGTTTCAAGTTGTGGAAAATTCGATCCCGGGATTCTATTTACGTTCCCCTATTTTATTTTTTATAATTTACATTTTCTAATTCTTACATTTTGCAATTTTTGACATTTTCAAATTTTTGCATTTTGCAATTTTTGACAATTTCAAATTTTTACATTTTTCAATTTCTGACATTTTCAAATTTTTACATTTTGCAATTTTTGACATTTTCAAATTTTTACATTTTTCAATTTTTGACATTTTCAAATTTTTGCATTTTTCAATTTTTAACATTTTCTAATTTTTACATTTTTTAATTGTCGACATTTTCTAATTCTTACATTTTTTAATTGTCGACATTTTCTAATTTTTACATTTTTTAATTGTCGACATTTTCTAATTCTTACATTTTTTAATTTTTGACATTTTCAAATTTTTACATTTTTTAATTTTTGACATTTTCTAATTTTTACAATTTTTAATTTAATACTTCAAAATCTCCGGAATTTGATATCCCCAAAATTCATTAAATTTCCACTATTTCAAAATCCCTAATATCGTGTATTTCTGAACCTAGAAACAGCAAACTGCACACGAGTAAATCGGTAATATAAAGTTTCTAAATCGATCAGTTCAATTCAATTGAACTCAATTCAAGTATTAAAACATTCATCGGGATTGTCCCAGCGGATTTATTTTTAGAACAATAATCCACTGCTGCATTTTAAATAAATTCGTCAACGTTAATTGACGTGGCTCATGACGAATAAAGCACATCTGTCATGGGTCGATATTTCAATCTTCCATTTCGGTAGCACATACTGTGTGAACCAATAGAAACGCATTTCTCTCAACTGCCATCTTATCGCATGTACAGTACAACAGCAATATAAACCTCATGCTTTTGTTGTTAAACTGTGCATAGCTTACAAGTTGACATGCAAACTAATACTGACAACATTTTTGCCAACTGCCATCTTGTGAGACGTACACAGTAGAAACAAAATTTAAATTTTATATTAATGTTGTTGGACTGTGCATATCTAACAAGTTGACTTGCAAACCAATATTAACAATATTTTTACCAACTGCCATCTTGTGAGATGTACACAGTACATAAAAAATTTAAACTTTATATTAATGTTGTTGGACTGTGCATATCTAATAAGTTGACTTGCAAACCAATATTGACAACATTTTTACCAACTGCCATCTTGTGAGACGTACACAGTACAAACAAAATTTAAACTTTATATTTATGTTGTTAGACTATGCATATCTAATAGGTTTACATACAAATCAATATTGACAATATTTTTACCAACTGCCATCTTGTGAGACGTACACAGTACATACAAAATTTAAACTTTATATTTATGTTGTTGGACTGTGCATATCTAACAAGTTTACTTGCAAACCAATATTAGCAACATTTTTACTAACTGCCATCTTGTGAGACGTACACAGTACAAACAAAATTTAAATTTTATATTACTGCTGTTAGACTATGCATATCTAATAAGTTGACTTGTAAAGCAATATTGACAACATTTTTACCAACTGCCATCTTGTGAGGCGTACACAGTACAAACAAAATTTAAACTTTATATTTTCCTTATTAGACTATACATAGCTAATAAGATGACATAAAAACCAATAATAAGAGCATTCGTCGCAACTGCCATCTTGTGAGCCACACACAATATGAAAAATATAAGTCTCATTCTTTTTTTTCTAAATTAAATATGCCTGATAAGATGACGTGCGAAGCGCTAAGAAATATATTCCCTTCAACTGCCATCTTGTGAGCCACACACAAAACTAAAAATAAAAACTCATTTCCTAGCAGAGAAATCATGCAAGCAGAATTGTTTGACGTGAAAGCTATAATTTAACGATTTTTCAAATATAAAAATGTTCCAGTTAAAGAAAGAGGAAATACGATTCCAGATGCGAAGGTAATTTGTTTTTTACCTCTGGAAAAGTTGTGTAAACATAATATTTGAGTTCTCCAATATTTAATTTGAAATCGTAGTCGGTGTCGAATAAAAGCTGAGACGGGGAATATGAAATCCCTACTTATTCCTCTGTACACACCACGGATATCGATTTCTATGCACTGCAGTTCCGAAATAAACCTGGTTAAGCGGCTCATTATTATTTAGAACATTTTCCGCGAAAAAACACAATCGTACGGCGCGGAATTGCCGCTTTAATTTTAATTAGCCTCTCCGGACCGAAACAATTTTAAAATGAATTAAAACGCCGGCGAGCTATTGGATTTCTCCAGATTCTGAAATAAGCGTGCTGTTTAATTCTCCCGGGGGAAATATGTGTTAACTGATATCAAGTTTTCAAATTTACGTACTCTCAACTTTTTAAATTTTTGTATTTTAAAATTTCTATGTTAAAAAAATTTAATTTTCTAAATTGTACATTGTGAACCCTGGATCGTCAAATCCCAAGGGCTTTAAATTTTTAGATCTCAAGTTCCTAAATCCCTACATAGAACTCTAAAATCCCTAGATTCCAAAATCCCTAGAGTCTCAGATCCCTAGATTCCCAAATCCCTAGATTCCCAAATTTCTGGAGTCTCAAATCTCTAAAGTGCCAAATCCCTAGATTCCCAAATTGCTAGATTCCCAAATCCCTAGATTCCCAAATCACTAGAGTTCCAAATCCCTAGAGTCCCAAATCCCTAGAGTCCCAAATTCCTAGATTCCCAAATCTCTAGATTCCCAAATCCCTAGAGTTCCAAATCCCTAGAACTAGATTCCCAAATCCCTAGATTCCCAAATTTCTGGAGTCTCAAATCTCTAAAGTGCCAAATCCCTAGATTCCCAAATTGCTAGATTCCCAAATCCCTAGATTCCCAAATCACTAGAGTTCCAAATCCCTAGAGTCCCAAATCCCTAGAGTCCCAAATCTCTAGAGTCCCAAATCTCTGGAGTCCCAAATCCCTAAAGCCCCCAAATCCCTAGAGTCCCAAATCTCTAGAGTCCCAAATCCCTAAAGCCCCCAAATCCCTAAAGTCCCAAATTCCCAGATTCCCCAATTTTCTGGAGTCCCAAATCCCTAGAGCCCCAAATCCCTAGAGTCTCAAATCCCTACAGTCCCAAATCCCTCGAGTCCCAAATCCCTAGTCCCCCAAATTGCAATCTCCCTAAATACCCAACCCATCGATAAAAAAAAATTGAATCACAGTATTCCTAGGATAGATGGCGACGAAGTCGAAATTTCCCCAGAATTTTGACACAAGGCAATTAGAAGTTTCAATAGGGCCATTTACAGATCCTAAAGTTTGATCAAGATCCAAGCTTTGTTCGTGAATTATTCATTCTTCGGATCGGTCTTTGCTAAACATTTGGGATGTCTCCTGGTTCCTCGGCCGCTAATTTGAATCCTACGGTGTACAAGTTTTAACGAGGTCGGTATTCGTTCTTCCCGAAGAAGAAGAACGAAACTGTGCGACAGCTGGGGAAATGTAAATGCCTCAGCGGTACCAAAGTAGCAAAAGCCG